TCAAAAGTAAAATACACTTTTTAAGCCATTGAATATTGTTGCAGTGAACTTTTAACTTAATAGATTTTTAAAAATTTAATACATTTCACTTTCCTTTTTTGTTTCAAATTCTTTATTGTTGTAAGCATCAAATATATACACCAATAACTAGCACTTTCAATGTTCCATAATAGATTTTTTTAAAAATCCATGGAACACAAGTTTACAAGAACTCCAATACAGTCATACCATACCACATTTTAAAATACTTGGTTTAGCTTAAGAAAAAGCTAAACCAAGAAGGGTCTGCACTTTAACATATTTCACACAAATAAACGCTACATATTTTCACAAAAGAGATATTAGAAAAAAAAAATTACCTTGCTTTTTGTAACCACCAACACAGCACACCTAAACTATCACACTTTTAAGGGAAATCAGGCTCTTTCAAAACAGCCCTGAAACGAGCTCCAGGTGAAAGCTATTGATGGCAAAATAGCTAATGACCTCCAGCTGGCAAAGCTGATTAAACTTTTTACTCAATTTGATTAGAAATTCACAGTGACTGTGCTAAAGTTATCATCCCCTGTGTAGCTGATGATCTGGATGAAATTTAATCCCATTAAAATTCAAGACCATCCCTTTGTCCAACTGTTTAGCGGGAGGGGAGGGGAAAGTGCAGCCATGGCAATTAATTTGAACAATATCTTCGCTCCAAAGGAGCTATATTTGCTGATGAGGGAATTTCTCCCGTTAATATTTGCTGCCTCGGGTTCCCCGCGCTCGGCTCCCGGGCCGGGCCGGGAAGCGGCAGCGGGAGCCGCAATGGCGCGGGACGGCCGCCAGGTGGGGCTGGAGACCGCGGAGCCGCGGCACAGATATTAGCTGCCGGGAATGAAAACCGGGAATGAAAACCTGCGGCAAAGGCAGCGCCGGGTGCGTCACTGACTGCGTTAGAGTCCGCTATCAGCGGGCACGGAAAAACCCGCACGTAAACTGCAGTCATTTATAAGGCGTTTCAGAGAATGGTAGTGTTTGGGTTAGTTGGTGGTTGTGCAATCAGAAGTGCTGGTGCCTATATGAATATTTTTCCCGCACGTAAACTGCAGTCATTTATAAGGCGTTTCAGAGAATGGTAGTTGTTTGGGTTAGTTGGTGGCTGTGCAATCAGAAGTGCTGGTGATGGTGCCTATATGAATATTTTATATCACAAAATGTGGCTTTTATGTGTTCATTTGATGCTGCTGCCAGAGGAGAGCAGCATTTGTACACTGAATTAGCTAGATATCAGTGCAACAAATTGAATGTGAACTTGTGTCAAGTAAACTCAAAATATGAGGAAAAAAGGGGTGTGGGCTGTGACCCACCATTGTGGTAATATTGGATATCTGCATTTATGCGGGGTGTAAAGTTCGAGTGGCTGAGAGAGTGTTAAAAGAAAAGTTAAAATAGCTTTGAGTCACCCTACACTCCTGCTTCTACTGCACGTGGATTTGGGAACCTTGTTCTGGGACTGACTGATGGCTTGAGTGATCAGAAACGAACCAACAACAAAATCAACTCCCTGAGGGTATCAGAAAACTTGCATTGTTATTTTGTTGTTTTTAGCAACATCTTGCAATTGTGACTTTAACCCTGGGTATTTGGAAAATACTAAAGATGCATCAAATTTTACCCTTTCTTTTAAGAATATATTGCACACTGAAGCAAGTATATTTTCATAACTGGGTTCCTCAATTACATAAATCCAGGAAGCTGATTGTGAGGCTCGTGTCCCATTCCAACAAGCAATAAAAACATAACCAATCTAAATAAAAGTAATGGAAAGTTTTCATAAGGAAATTACAAAGCTGAGAGTTTGTTTTTGTAACTCTCGCACCTGTTTGATAGGTTTTGCAGTGATCAAACCTGGGTTTTTACATGTGGCCACAGAAGGCTGTTTAAGGTCAGACTGGTGAGAAAAATGCTGAGTAAAGTTGTGTTTTGCTAAGATGACTGAAATAGCGAGATGGAGTGATTTGGATGAGGTCAGTGTCTAATAGTTTAGAGAGGATTAGAAACAGTCACTGGCCCTCAATCTGTTGCTGTAATTACTGAGCTACCCAAGTTCCACACGGAACAACTCAGGTATTGGTATTACAGCTCTTGGTATTCACAGTAATTAATTAAAACATATTAGTGTTCTGGCTTCTGCTTAATGGAAGGTGAAAGTGTCCCATCTCAAAAAAAAACCCAGAACATTTTCATATTTACCTGCTGAAAAATCTGGATAGAGTTGAACCTGGGTTTTTACAAAGCTGCACTAGTAAATAACATGGCTTCAAGTTGTGCAGCTTTAAGTGTTCTTAAATAATGAAGAGCAAGAACATGTAAAAACAAACAAACAAATAAAGCACACTCTAATGCCCCAGTTAGTTTTTCTTGTGGTGAAGCCTGGGTCAGCTGTGCCATAGCGAGGGGTAGCAACCAGCACTTCTCACCAGACTCCGTGGGTCAGTAAAACATTTGTCAGCTCGTATGCTACCCTGAGCAATTAGCAGGGAAAGACCAAGAGGCTTTTTTAAACTCATCGGGTTTTATGCAGATAAAAGCAACAAGCCTCCTCCTCAGGGGAAAAAAATAACCCACCAACACATTTACTTGCTGCAATTAATCCCTTACTCATGTGGAATTCTTGCCTGCTGGTAGAGAAGACTCACAAACCATGGATTTCCATTTTATACAGGGTCAGCAGTGCACAGGTTTAGTTAAGAGTGCTGATACAAAATGTCAATAAACAAAATATGCAAATCCACACTTAAAAAACATCTATGCTTCAGTAGCTACAGGATTTGTAGAATCTCTAAAGGGCAGTGGTTGCTGTTGGGATTGGAAGCAGCGGAAAAAATATTCCTACCAGTAAATTTACGGTTACAGTAGCAAGCTAGGGACTAAAATATAACCTAAGCTGAAAAGAAACATGAAAAGTGACAGTCCTGTCATAGATAAGTAGGACCAAAGTACTTTGTTTCCATAAAGCCATATTCACCACAGCCACTGGACGTAATGACCTTGTCATTCCATGTCCTTAGAGCCTCTTAGCGTGAACTCCAGCCTCAAAGCTAGGGAATGCTGGTGTGTATCAGAGTTAGACATTGTAAGAGCAGGGAGTGCTCCCGCAGCGCTCTGGCAAGGTGGTCACTGCGCCTGGCAGACTGCTGACAGCTTGTTGGCAACCCGTGCCTCACTTTCTGTTCACAGGTTGTAGATAGGGTCTGTAAAACCGTCCCAGGGATCGCCATTTAGCAAAGGGAAGAGAACAGGTCTGAAGGTAACGGATTGTTTACATCATCAATTAGTTACTTTGCATCTAAGCTCCCAACTCTGTTTTAAAGCATAAATGAAAATTCTAAGCTGAGGAAAATATTATGGAGTTTGCTAAAATATTTCATGTATTAAACATCAGCTAGCATAGATGACTTTGGAACCAAAGAGGGGGAAGCAGCAGCTATTTTAACTCTTACTATTTAGCAGGCTACAAGGATGGAGTAACCATGTTAATACTTAGAATTTACAACATATTTTATTTTTTTCTGAGATATGCTCACTCCCTGTCAGCGGAGTTATATGGATTTGTTAATTAAGTCACTGCTTTCCTTGTTTTAAAACAAGGGGGTTTAGCTGTGGGTATTTGGAGTGGTTAATCACACAGTGAACGCAGCAGAATCAGGATTAGAAGAACAGGATTGTCTCGTTTCCTGTCCCTCTTTTAATCAACTTGGTATTCTTGCCTGTCTAGACCATTCTGTATTTAATTTTTAATCCCATTTCTATTGACAGAAACTAGACTCCCGTTTTGATATTAAAGTAGAAGTAGCATAATTTTGACAGCAGTAGTGTTTTATTGGCTCCCTCTGTCATATTTTAGACACTCCTTATTTTCCAAGCCCCTTTTTTCTTAGGACATCTATTTCTGTTTCAGTTTCTCCAAATAGGATTGTTATCCTTGCATCTACTTACAGCCTGTTGCTTGAATTTAACCTTGCATTACTTGATGTTTCACCACAGGCAGAATTTGCTATCACACGTTTACGTGCAGTGGCTTTTGTTAGGGACGTCACATCAAGTAGAATAGTAAGTACAAAATTATATTAATCTTGTAGAACAGAATCTTGCAGAAAATTTAATCACTGCTTAAAAGGTAAAATTTACTAAGGTTTCCTTTTGGGGAAAAAAAAACAAACCCAAAACAAAACAAAACAAAACAAAAAAAAAAACCCACCAAAACAACCAAAAAAGACCCCAAAAACGTAGACACTTGTGCTTGGATTCCCCAACAGCCATGCTGAAACACTTCTGCTGATGGATTTTGGTCTTTATTGATATCACTCAGATCGCTGCTCAGGAAACCTGCGAGTAGTGGACACTTCAGCACCCTAAAATCCCTTCCTGGTACGGAAGTGAGGATGAGCTCTAGCAGAAACTAGAGCAAGTTAGACAGGAAACGGCAAGTTATTGACAGCTGTGCTACCAGCGCTTCACTTGCCGTGCGGCTTGGTCGGCAAAGCCCCGCAGAAATGAGGGAGAGGCTGGGCCGAGCAGGCAGGAGGGGACATCCCCTCAGGAGGGGGAGCTGACAGATCGATGAGAAACACACACGAGGTGTAACGCAAACAGCGCTTTGACAACTCACGAACAGAAAAGTTATGGAATTCGTAACCAATGAGTGCCGATGCCTTTGCTGAAATGCATAAATAGCATAAAGCTCTGCTGATCGGTGAGCCAGCCTTTGGCGTGTTACCACCCAGCTCCGACTCCGGGCAAACTCGAATAAAACACAGAAATCGCTCTCCTCGGTGCGCGAATTTGCTCAAGCGATCGGGACAACGCTGTAGCGTGGTATTTAACGCCAATAAGCCGCGCAGCCAGGGCCACCGGAGGCGCAGCGGGAGCCGCGGGCACGACCCGCCCTCACGGGGCCCCCCACGGCCCGCCCTGCGAGGGGGGCGGGAGCGGGTGGGGCGGATCTCGCGAGACTTGGGCGGTGCCGCGGAGCCAGTTTGAACGGCAGCAGCGGCGGGTGCGGCGGTGAGCGGGGTTTGCTCTCTGTGGGGCTGCCGTAGTGCCGGCCGCCGTTCCCTGCAGCTGCTGGGGCCGTTGGCTGTCCCACGGCCCGCGGAGGAGCGAGGCGAGCCCGGTCGGGCCGTACCCGGTGTGGGGGTCAGACCGGGTCTGCAGCGGGTCGGGCCCGGAAGGAGGGGACAGCGGGGACATGGCTCTGGTAGCACACAGCGCTGCCAGAGCCGGCTCTGTGCTGGCTGAACGATGAGGCTGTAGTGTGATATTTATTGTTCTCTGTAGTACCCACCCTCCCGAGGGCCTGTTTGTGGAAGGTGATCAGCTCCGGAAATCTTTCGGCCTGAGTGTGCAGCGTGGTGGGTGCAGATATGGACTTGTGTAAGTAACGGGCTGGAATGGCCGTGGGAATAGCTGGGCTAAGGGAGGGAAACCACCCTGGTGGTTGTGCTCCTGATCAGAAAAATAAATGCCCAGGTGCTTCTGACAGGGTCCGGGCACAGCCGGCCGTGTGGCAGGGTCGGGGCACAGCCGGCCGTGTGGCAGGGTCGGGGCACAGCCGGCCGTGTGGCCCTGGGGAACAGGAGTTTAACCAGAGAGCTGTGCTAGAGTGGGAGACGAATGCTGGCCTGCCAGGAGACTGCCTTTTATCTCCTACCTACCCGGTTACTTTTGTTAAGGAGACTTTGAATGGTTGAATAATCGAAATGTGCAGCTCTCAGCATAGAATCTCTCATTAAATGTTTGAAGATATTTAGTCAGAAGTGTGTAACTTCTTGTAACTCAGTAGAATAAATGAAGACTCACGTCTGTTATTTCCTCCCTCCTGCCTACTCACCTTGCTACCCATTCAATTAATCTTAAAACGTTATTTTCAGAGTAATTTACTTAGCCTCATGTAGAATATTAAATTGCTGGCAATTATTTCAATGTACAAGTTCTTGAACAAAACTACCTGGATTTGTTTGATTCATCTGAACTTGACAAGGAAAAATTGAGGCTGGCTGTGCTCCAAAAAGCATACTTGCTATTTTCCCTAACAGTCAGCAGGAATGTGTGACTAGGAAAGCTGTTTCTCTTTTCCTCTATACTTCAACTGTAAAATTAAGAAAAAACCCATACTTTTTTTTTCTGTTGTCTAGTAAATAATTTATTAGGAACTCTAAAGTTCTTGTATGTGAAACTGGAAGAGAAATGCAAGAGAGGTTGAAGAAGTAGGAATGAGTGGGACAAAAATCCCAAAAAACCCCCCTTAAAAATTACCAGATGTACCAGAAGAAAGTGACCCTGGCCAAATTGCAGAGCATCCATCCTTTGACAGCGTTGCCTGATCTGCTTCTAAACTGTCTGACAGCTGCCTAACTGAGATTTGAATAAGATTTGCATTTGTGTGGGGCTTAGCTTGTGATCTGCATGTTCATGAGGCAGCCAGCAGGGTTAAGCCTGTTCTGAAAAGGGACTGCTCTGAAGGGCTGTGCTGGCAGCTCAGACTCATCCAGCCTAGACAACTGTTGGTTTTGGTTTTTTTTTAAGGTAGAGTGGAAGAATAACGTCAAAAGATATTTCAGTGGACTTCTGGAGGTGAGTTAAACATGTTATTCATTTAAGTTAGTAAACTAGGAGCTGCCAAATGGCTGTGTTGCCTCTATACTATTGTCTGATCAGAAAATAAAGCTATTTTTAAAGTTCTGTCTATGTACATGAACAAGGATTTATTCATCCTCTTTACTATTGGAAATACATGCCAGAAGTTGTCGCCTATGTTCTTGTATTGCTACACCTTGTCTTAAACACTTTTTTATTAAATTGTATGTGGTGTCCCTGTCCTTGCATTAGTGTAATACTGACGATTCTCAGTTATTGGTATGCAAGATTCCTGTGTTTCCCTGGCTTATTTTAGTATAAGTGCAAAACTAGTATTTCAGGCATTGCAGTGGTTAGAGGTGAAAACTGAGGTTTCAAAGCCTGGCTGGATAAAGTCTCTTTGTATGTGTTAAACCTGGATAGCAACAAGTGAGGAGAAAATGCAAAAATCAGAATGTGATTCCTTGGAAAGGAATTGGCACAGTATGGGCACAATTACTTCTGCATGTTAATTAAATTCTTTTCTATTAGGAGAAGCTGAGTAACTCCATTAGGAGTTATTCATGTTGAATGAAAGTTAGCAAAAAATAAGTGAAGGATATTACAACATTCATAAGAATTATGTATGTGCCAGTAAGAAACGGCAACAAATAAATTGCTTCTGTGAGAACAAAAAGCAAGAGTCAGGTCTTCAAAACAGAAGTACTTTAATTCTGAAATTTGTATAAAAGTTATGGGCCCTGACTTTGGAAAACTAACTGCAATTTTTTTTAGTGTGTTTGTCTCTCTCTGTTATTTCCTTCTTTCTGAGAAAACTCTTGGCACATGTTGTTCGGAAACCTGAGTTACTTAGCATTTTCTGTCTTAATAGGATTTTTCTTGCAGCAGGCTGATTTAGCAGATTTGGGAGCAAGCAGTCATACAAGCTTATGGTGTTAATTTGACTTGATTTTTTTTTTTAAATACTCGGTATGTTGGATTTACTTTAACTAACTTTTTTACAAAATTCACCTTCTGTCTTCTGTTATACCCTACAGTTAGAAAAGGATGAATTTTCTGAAATGTGACTAGGAGATGATAATTTACCAACAAGTAAACTAAATTTTGAAAGACTCCATTCAGCACTTAAATAAATGCAAAGCCCTGTGTTAAACTCCATATATTTTAACAGGGCTTCTATTTTTGACTCTTCCCTTCCTTGCCTTTTATCTGTTTCTCTATCCCACATAATGTTATTAGGAGTACACTCTCCTGCTAAGGCAGCTGCCTACGCCAATCTTAAGTGTTATTTGTGTACACAAGAAATGCTGGACTTAGTGGGGCTTGGTTTATAATACAGAGAAAATAGTGTCAGCCAAGTGCATAGCAGTGTTTTCCTAAGGTTATTTAATTGTCTTGTTCTTGGCAAGAGAGCTCTATCCTAAATTAACTCTGGTTGTGCTGTACAAAGAAACCAGGCTGGGTGCACAAGAGTGCTTTTGCTGCATGTTAGACATAATCAAAAATAAGGCAGTAACCAAGTTTATGAAGAAATAACTCTTATTTTACTGTTCACAGGTCTGCTTGTGAGCTTTTTTTTGTCTCTTGTATTGCAAAAATATATGGTTCTGTCCTGGTTAAGAAAGGAAATCCAATAACTTTGTTCAGATAACTACTCTTATCTGTAAAATGTGTTTACTGCGATGTATTTTTAAGTAATTTTTTTTCTTTGCAGTGTTGAATAAAAAAAGAAAAATGGAGGCAGAGACCATTTTAAGTCTTAAGCAGCAACTCAAGGAAGCAGAGAACGAGCGAAAAAAGGCAGCACAATATGGTTTGCATTTACTGGAGTCCCAAAGTGAGGTTCAAAATCAGCTGGATCAAGCACGCTGCGAATTGACTGAGAAAACTGAGGTGATGACTGCCTTTTCTTCTTAAAGTTCAAAACCTGAACTTCATTTTTATTGTTTTCTGAAAGGCACAGGTGTTTTACATGTCTTCTAGCATCTAGACTAATTGTAATAAACCTCTGAGTAGTTGTAGAGAGGGCTTTTTTCTCAGCTTTAAGACATTGAGCATAATTGTCTCTAACTGGGAGAGGGTTTCATAGCTAATTATGCATCAAGTGTTCAGGATCATGTAGGACTAATTGCCTTTAATGTAAAACGAGTGCTAAATGCTAAAGTAAATTTGCTTCAGAGCATGTTTTTCCTCTGTTTAGCAATCCATTTATGTATGCTCTCCCAGTCAGCTTTATATCACTTAAAAGCTGTGTGAAGAATGCTAGCAGCAAGACTGTAAAATTGATTTATTCTCTAGTGAAGTTTTCAAATTTTCCAAATACCCAGGGGTTCTGAACTTTTTAGCACATTTCTTTGTAGCTCAGAAAAAAGAGTAGTATAGTGCTGAATTACAGAGGTATTATTTAGCTGACCAGTTTTCTTTTTAGTAATTGAGAAGATTTCAGTTGGGACAATCTCTTCCACTGTTCATAAAGGCTTTAATGGTCATCTTTCTGTTCAGCCAGCTCATGTTTCAGATAAATTATTTATCTTCACTTAGTCTGTTTCTGGTTGTGCATCTATCCCTTCTCCTGGGATAGAGCTGAAAGGTTTGTTTTGTAGCAGCTGTAGGGTTCCTGCTGTTCTGAATGGACAGGATTTTTTATTCTGGTCAGTTCACCATTAGTAAGCTTTGTGTGAGAGGCAGCTGAAGGCACAGGTTCCAAGGAAGCCAGGGCAGGACCATCCTTTCCTGCTGAGCAGCACAGAGGGCAGGTCTGAGCTGTCAAGCTGCTCCCATGGGTTGTGATCCTGTGTGAGAGGCTGGAGCCACCTTCTGAGCCTGGCTGGGAACTTGGATTGCGGGGGTGGAGGGTAGGAACTGTGGGCCTTCATACAGTAGAATAACATTTTGTGTGGGAGCTGTGCTTACCCAAGAGCTTCTTTAGAGCTTTTGAATCTCTCTGGCTCTGCTCTGTGCGCTCTGAGGCAAGTAATGCAAGGCAGTTACTGTGAACACAAGTGTGCGTTCTACCAGCAGGCACAAAAGCCTCTCAGAAAGCTCTGTGTGCTCTTCTGTACCAGTGTGCAGGCAGATTCTTGCTGAGGTTTTGTTGGTTTTGGCTCTGGCCAAACAGTGCACTCCAGTAACTGTCCTGTGGCCAGTCTTTGTCTTTGTGTTAGAGCTCCTGCCCTGGGTATTTGAGAGCTAAGCCTGTCCTTGATAAGCTGTGTCTAGGCCACAGGGGTCACTTTGATACCTGACAGCTTTCAGTTTTTTATTTAATTCTGTTCTGTCTCTCAAGAATTAGGTTATTTTTAAAAGGAAAAAAAAAATCTGCATGTTTAGATTCATTTGGCTTCCTTATTAACTTTTTTGCTTTCAAGATTCTCTTTTTCTTTTCCTTAATTGCTGGCTGAATGGAAGAGTAAAATGAAGCCACCCTTTGCAATTAGCAAACATGCAATCAGGCGTAGATAGCAGCTGTTTAAAAAATTATTCTTCAGTCTGGAGGAGTTGATGGGATTTATTATGAAAAAGACAATTTAGCTGTCTTTAAAAAACTCTTGAACTCAGCTGTTCTGCTTGATGGACTGTAGTAATTTTTAACATAATTGGGTTCTGTAGTGGTAGAAAGGACATATAAACTCTGGCTAAATTTATGACACTTACAGAAAAGATACCCACACCTTTCATACTGGGTGCAAAGAAATACAGAGTTTCCATGAAGAAGAGAATATTTCACAGTCCAATTATAAACACAACATTTATAAAGCATAACATTTTAGAGCAGTTATTTTTTATTTTTAAAACATGGATATTACAACTTTCTAATTGGCACTCCCAACAAAAGACTAAATGAGGTGCAAGCATCTTGGTTCTGAGCCTGTGATTTTTCATAAATGCTTAGGGAACAGTGTACAATTACATCTAGATTTATTAGTGTGTCATTTCTTTCAGAAATTTGAACAAGAGAAATACACACTTCAGAGAGAAATTGAACTCAAGAATCGAATGTTGGAAAGCTTGAATTTTGAGTGTGATTCCCTTAAGCAACAGCAAAATTTGCAACTGGATAAACAGAAAGAACAGCTTGACAGAGCCTATGGACAAGAAATCAGTGACCTTAAAAATAAGGTTTGCAAACTAATATATAGCTAAAAGGTTGTTAATACTATTTTAGATACTATTTGCTTAACTTATAATTGCATTCTTAACTACCAAAAGAAAAAGTAAATAGTTGCAATGTATAGTATCTTGTTTGGTTGGTTTTTAAAAAATATCTGTATAGTCACTTACGAATTACATTGAATTTCAATGTTTATTTTTAAAAGCTACTCTTGTGTTTCCAAGACATTTTCTGTAATTGGAGCAGTCAGAAGTATTGTGCTTTTCAAGAATTTACCATGAAATGATACTATTTAGTTATCAACTGTTTTTAAGTTGGAGAACCTGAAAGCAGAACTGGATGAAACCCGACTCTCAGAGAAACAGCTGAGACAAAAAGTGGAGCATCAGAAGGAAATAATCACTGCCAAATCAGAAGAACTGCACATGATGTCTGAGCGTGTCCATGAGACCATGTCTTCAGAAATGCTCAGCCTGCAGATAGAGCTCACTGAGCTCCAGAGTCAGAAGGTGTGTGAGTAGCACTGCATTTGCAGTGTAGCCTAGTTGGAGATGAAATTCTGCCCTTTTGCTCATTTCATTTTTAGGTGTGTTGTCTGCAGTGCCATGTTAGGATTGACTTTTATTCAGACAATGTGCACAGCAAAAAATGACAGCTTTAATAGCTGGGCTTTAATACCCTCTCCAAGATAATATTTTGTATTAAAATGAATTGCTACTAACAAATGGCTTTGGTTTACTTAGGCCTGCTTGTCTTCCAATTGTTTTAAGTATTTTTCATTTCATGCTTGTTTTTTGTTTGTTTAGGCCAATGATAAAGAAGAGCTGAATGAGCTGCAGTGCACTAAGGAACAGTTGGAGCTTGTGAACAGCAACTTACGGAACCAGCTGGAGCGGCTGCAGGGGGAGAAAGAAGAGAGGGAAAAAGAAGTTGTCTTTTACTGCAATGCATTAGAGGTATTCTCTTACTTTTATGTCACAGTGGTAGGTAATCCCCAAATTGCACAAGCTGTTCAATGCATTAGAGGTATTCTCTTATGTCACAGTGGTAGGTAATCCCCAAATTACCTGGTTTGTTGCCAGGTTTTTGGTGAAGGAGGAGTTTTGAGGAGTTGTGAGAGAGAGGGAAAGGAGAAGGATAATGGTTGGTCATGTGGGGTGTTGCCTGGTGGTAAAAGCTCTCTGTTTGCCTTGTTTTGTGGCAGCTGTGAAAGGAGAGCCTTTGCATGGCACTGTTCTGCCTCTTGGCGACCTTCTCACAGGTCACTGGCAGAATTCATTTTATTTCAAGTTCCTGCTGACTGCCTTGGAGAATCTTGTACTGGGAAGTAGAGCATGTGTTACTGATGAACAGTTGGGAGTGATCTGAATATCATTAATCCAGTTGACAGACATCAAAGCTTACCCTTAAAGGCTTTTAGTTGTGCTCTTGTCCTGAAGAACAAGTGGAATATTAAGTATTTTAGTGAAATTAAATTAATTTGTCGCTTAGTTACTAGAACTGTATGTACAGTTAAGGACTTCAGTACAATTGAATCTCTGCTAAAGTATAGGAAATTAAAAAGAGTTAAAGCTATCTGATTAAATTTGTGTATGCAGTACATCAGATGCTTAAATGACCAATATCCTCTTTGCTTTAATCTAGAAAGCTCATGAGGCTAATCAGGAGCTTCGGGTTCAGCTGGATCATGCAGTGCAACAATCTCTGGACCCTACAAGTAAAGGCAATTCTCTCTTTGCTGAGGTACAACTATGCAACAGATGCCTGAGGAGTATTTTCAGTCTTCTTTTTTTATGTTGTATTGAAAATGTGGGAGTATCTGCACCTGATCTGGCCAGCATGTAGCTCTATTCCTCAAATATGACTTCAGTGTTGATCTGACGTGGAAAACCATTTCATGCTCTCTCTGAAGATAAGGAGTTAGTAAACTTTATGAAATCACTTCAAGTTATCTGACTATCAAGTCAAAAGTTGTGACTGAGGGTTCATCATGGTTCTGTCTGTAGCTCTTGGTTTTAAGTTTTGTTCAGCTGATAAATCCATCTTTGATGTAGAAGACAGTATGTGAAATATTAACAGTTGCTGCTAAAAGCTGCCTTACACACTTCCTGAAAATGTCTGGATGTTTGAGCTTTTGGGAGGGTTTTGGAATTAGCTTTTGAGGAAGAGTTAAATGCATAGGGAGCCTTATGCTTCATGGCAGCATCCAGGGGATGGGTGAACTTGGGAAACAGTTCAGATTATTTTAAACTGTTTGTTCTGTTGCCAGTGGACAAAACTATTCTACAGCAACACTGAAGTATATGAAATGTTACTTTATTTTGATCTCAAAAGAACAAAAGAAAAATCTGTTGCATGTCACTGGTTGAGTTTCAGTGGCACTGTCTACTCACTTCTGTTACAGGGCAAAGACAGTAGCCTGTGTTTTCAAGTGCTGTTGCTGTTGCTGAAAAAGTGTTTGCAGACTGAACACCAATTGCTAGGCAGCATGTCCTTATCAAACTCATCCAAGTTTGCAGACTGAACACCAATTGCTAGGCAGCATGTCCTTATCAAACTCATCATCCAGGTGACAGCAAGTGTTGTGATTTCACAGTAATAATTGTTCACAATGTTCTGTAGGTGGAGGACCGTAGGGCAGAAATGGAACGACAGCTGATCAGTGTGAAAGTAAAATATCAGTCCCTACAAAAACAGCATGCATTCAGTAGAGAACAATTGCAAAGAATGAAGGTAGGATGATTCCTGTAATACTCCAGGGTGTCCTTGGGTTTGATAAGGCACTGCTTTAATGCATAGGCCAGGGGATTTGTTATCTTTAAAATATGGTGTAGTAGTCTGGGGGGAGGGAAATGGGAGAAAAAACAAGTGAGATGATGTTGTGCTCTCTGAGTCCTATGGTCCAACAGCATCCACCTTACAGTGGAGGCACCGTGTTTGCTGACTTTGGCAGTAGTTGTTTAATGGATAAAAGTAAAACACAGCCTCCTGTCAGTCAAACTAGCCTTCAGTTTGTCTTGGTAATTGTTTTTTCTTTTCTTGTCCAGTCCTTGTACTGCATGAATGAAATATTTGTACGTTACCTGTTGTTGTTAGGAATGAGCATAAAGAAAAAGACAGACTTTTACCACCATTATTCTGTAGGGGTTTGGGTTTTTCTACCTCTGTGTTTCTTTCTTGTCTTTGTCCATATTTTTTCTTCTTGCTCTTCTCTATTTTTGGTGTAAGAATAAGTCATAACTTCCATAACTCTTTAAGTTAAATAGGATGGGAGCCTGTTGGTTAATATTGTTGAGATCTAGTTAGCAGAAGCTGATTTACAGGACAGTGTCAAGGGGGTGCTGCAGAGCTGCCAACTGTTTTCATGTTGGTCTCAAGATTTTTCCAACACTAAAGTGGATCCTTTCACTTTGATCAACTGCTTGGTCATGCAGTTTGAGGAGAGTGCTTAAACATCAAGGGTGATTATGATGAGTTGCACTGAAGGTTTGTATTAGCTAGATTTTAAGGAGTAGGTTGAAAATTGTTTAAACAATGGTCTTAAATGAGAAGAAAAACCTTACTGATACAGCAAAGATTTGAATGAGGGCAGTCATTGGGTAGGATCAGTTCCTTTGGGGAATTTTCTTTTTGTGATGTCAGGTAAGTCAGTCATAGTGATTGACTGGTGTAAGAAACAGACCTAATACTCAAAGGACCAAAAATGGAGGCAAGTTGGTATCCCTGTACTAGTACTTAATGTTTTTATTTGAAATACTTTCTAATTTTTTTCTGATAGTACTGGAGATGAGTAGTTTGTTAGGAACAGCTGTTTTGCTTAAGCTGCTGTCTTAAATCCCTGTGAGCATCCTCTCTGTGTTGTGCTGCACTGAGATGCTGCCAGTTAAAGCTCAGTCTGAGTTTAGCTGATCTCTCCACTCAAAGCTGCTTACCCCACAGGAGGGGTAACTGCTGTTACATCTTTAGTTGAAGAATCTCACTTTGTGGTAATTACTGGGAAATCCTGAGGATCTGACTCCTGAACAGAATGTACACAGTACTCCTGGGAAAGCTTTCCCATCTCTAGTGTATTTTTCCTAGTCCAGAGCATCCTTTTCCAGTTTCTTTAAGTTCCTTGTTATGTAGATCAGCTGCAATTTGCAATTTTGACAGTTAGCAAGAGGGCTTTTAAGGGAAAAGGGAAAAAGGTTGGGTGTCTGTGCTTGGGAGCTGTGAGGATAGTTTTAGTCAGCCAGTGAGGTGGAGTTTACAATTTTGCCTCCCTTACATCCTGTAGAAGCTCTGGAGAGATGATTGAATCTTTCATTGGCTCTGCTTTGTGCACAGAATCATCTGTACCCTTTAACTGACATAGGAGATTCTATAGGGTAAATGCTCTTCTTGCTTTCCCTCTGTAATCTCATTTTTTCACTTGATCCTTTCCCTGTGATTTCTCCCAGTGTTACCTTACCCATACTGACTAGACTGATAAAAATGCCTCAGTTTTCATTAACACCTTGTGAAATCTTTCATTTATTCTGTTTCTTGTTGTTTAAATGTCTGATGTATCACCTGTAACCAAATGTATTAAGACCTTTGTACTTCAATATTATTAACACCAACAGAAATATTGCTGTTAATGTAACATTTTTATAACTTCTTTATAACGACAGAGGGTGTTCTTTTGTCTCAAAGGAGGTATTCCATTGGAGAAGCAGAAAAAGCTCTTGGGTTAATATTGTGGAAGGCAAACATGGTGTTACACCTGAAAAGCAGAACTGAAAAAAATGAGGGGTTAAGCTTGTGGGTTTTCCTAAGTGAGTTCTCAAGATGCATTTCAGCACAGACAAATCAGCCTGGACTGAGAGTGGCTCTGGCTGGCTTGGTGCTGATGGTGTGGGTGTGGAATGCTGTGTGTGTCCTTGGCAGAGTGTTTGTGTGCTCCTCAGCCAGTACAGAGGTGAGTGGGACACCCCAGGGCTGCACTGCTCACTGAGATCTCAGCTGTCCTCATGCCTTGGGATGTCTGTGGTGATAATTGCTGGGATTATGTCATGCAGACTAAATTCAAGCATCCACTGCCCTTCTATATTCAGGTTTGGAATTACAAAGCTAGAGTACCTAAACAGTTTTGTGTAAAAGGCTGGGATTTTCAGTCTCTAATCCCAGTACTTGTTGTAAATAGTTTTTTTTTCCTTTTTTCCAGCTGCAAATGGCTACACTTCTGCAGCTGAAAGGCTCCCAGGCAGAATTTGATCAGCTGGAACGCTTACAGTCCATGTTAGAGCAAAAGAATGGTGAAATAAAAGATCTTCTTATGCAAGTGAAGCAGCTAGAAAAATTTAAGGTATGTGGTTTTTAATTAAGTAGAAAATTGTAATTGGAAGCTAAAACATGAAAACAAGAAGAATTATGAGAACTATCTTAAGTCCATGCTTAGGTTTAAAAAGGTATCCAAAAGCTGACTCATATCTTTATTTCACCTGAATTGCATTTTGCAGCTGGAGCATATTAGACTCCTCAAGTGCAGAGAAGCAGAAAATTATACCCCACCCAACACCTGGGTTGAAGAAACAAGTTTTTGTCCTGTGTGAAGCACCTTCATATCATTTATAGTTCTACCATTTAAATTCAGTTACTTGGTCAAAGCTCACTGAGCTGTGACATCCAATTTTTCTCTGGGAAGGTGTAGTCATTTGGCACTTCTATTGTGTGTGCTTAGGCTTTAGCCTTTAGTGTCTCAGCTCTATTGAGCTTCCTGGATATTTATTTTCTTGATGTGTCTTAACTTTGCAGCTGAAGCATGCTCTTTTCTAGCAAAACTGATGTGCTTAATTATCCTTGTAAAGCAGTTTTTTCAGTCCTGTTATGCAACTTGAGAACATCTTGTCAGTATTTTGAAAAGTGAGAAACACACGAGGATTTCTATGTACCCCAGTGTAATGCTATTGATGTTTGTATGTTTCCAGATTGGAAAACTGGAACCTTTCTTAGTTCTTGCTCGTTTCTGGACTTGTTTGGCCCTTTCTTATCAGAGCTTTGGAATGCAATTTGAGGTGTGTTGGCTTGTGCAGTAGGACTGTGCTTTCCAGGATAGCCTCCTGTATTCTGTATTTAGCCCAATAACCTGGTGTGAAGCCGGGCTTAACCCATTTTAGCCATAACTGAGGAAGCCTGATTGTTTTACCAGTTTTGTCATGTTTAAGCTTGATCTGTACTTAATTTCTGTCTCTGGGCCATAAATAAGTAGTGTTGGGAAATTGAATGATTGATTCCAATAACCACCTCTATCTGTAGTATCTGTAGGCAGTGACTGACAGAGGCTGGGAGGTCTCTGGGACAGGATTAAATTTCAATACTGCTTGTTTAGAAAAAAATCACCAAACAAAAGCCCTAGTGTCACATGTTACAATATCTTTACTACGAACCAACTTCCTCATCTGAAAAATGTAATTGATTTTGAGATTTTGACTATTGATTAGCATGGCTGGTATTCCTCTGGGGTCCAGCTGCTGAAGCCTAGAAATAAATGCTGAGAAAAATTCCCTGTGGGTTAACTAAATACCCCGTATTTTCAAGTAAAAAGCAAGAAAGTGTTCTGCAGTGCTGCTTGCAAACTTTCTGGAGTTGAGATACCTCACTTTTTTTTCCTTTTTTCAGTGAATGAGAGAGAGCTGTCAGTTTTAGTGCTGTTTGACATTTGTAACAAATGTGAAAGTACTCAGAGCAGCTGAGTTTTATCATCTATGTTTAAATCCCTCTATGATGAGGCTTCACCATCAAAATGCGTAGAAAGTGTCTCCTAAGAACTAAACTAATGTGCTTCTGAAAGGTCACTGCTTGATAAGCTGACACTTGTTCTTTACCAGAGTTTATATGAGAATATGGAGGAGTCCAGACCCGCTAATGGAGCGAGAGGAAGCGATTCTGAAAATGATTACTATGCAGATTTACTGCAAATTAAACTTGACAAATCAAAGTAAGTGATTGCAGCCTGAAGCCCTGGTTGTGGCTGGGTTATCTTCTAGGTACTTGTTTTTAACCTCCCTTTTTTGTTAGTGTTTGTATGCACTGGCTGCATGTGCAGATGGGTTTTGTTGCTGTTGTATTTTCTAATGCTGTGGAACCAACGTCGTTATAGGACTGAGAGTTGTTTTTTTGTAGTTTTATTTATGTTTTAAAATAAAACAGCAGAAATACTGTTTATGATTATTGCTTTCTTCCAGAAATGTTGTTAATACTCCCAGGTACAGGGCAGTTGAGACCTTGAATAAATTAAAAGTTAATCTCTATGGAAATTGTATGAAAAGTCTTAGTCTTTAGGCTGTGTATGTTTATTCTGTTATAAAAAGTGATATAATAACACTCAGAATGTTTTCTAGGACAAAAAAGCTTGATTTTTCCTACTGATTGGTATTCACCAATACCAATTCTGAAGTTCAATGCTTCGTTTTTGCTTTGATAAAAGAAAAAAAACCAAGCCTAATCCAAGTGTGACTGATTTTATAATTTTCCTCCCATCCCAGCAAGGAAACTGAAGCACTGAAAAATGAGCTATCACTGCAGAGAATGAAAGCTCTGCATGAGAGCCAAAGGGTCCTGGAGTTTGAAAGGAAGCTCTTCACAAGTGAGAGGCATTTGCAAGCTTGTCAGAGTGAGAATATGAACCTGCGGGTTATGCTGGATGAGCTGAAAATGAAATATGAACCTGAAGGTAAAAACTTCTTTTCTCTTAGGGAAAATATAAATTTCTGATTTTTCTCAGCCTTTAGAAATGTAATGACATTAAACAGGAAAACATTGGTTTAGTTCCAGAATTTATTGCTTAAATAGCTGACTTTCTGAAATAACCTGATCCAAAATCTGCTGAGGTGAAGTAGAAAAGCCCTGCCTTGCTCGAGACCTCACTTGAACATGTGAACACTGATTGGAGGAGACTGAAGAATGCAGTTTCACAGTTTAAAATGGCAGTGTTCAGGGGCTTTATTGAGCACAGGCAGATAACCAGACTCAAATAGGTGGATCAAATCTCAGGTGTTTCCCACAGTAGCAGCAGTGTCTTTGTGGTGATGAGAAGCCTCAGCTCTCTGGGTGTAGGAAGCTGATGGGAGCTTTGGAATAGGTGCCAAGCATTTACAGGAAAACAGTTTAGCAGCTCAAGTTAATATGGTTTAAATTTTGGCTAGAGAGACCCACCTGACTAACAGCTGATACCTCAGCATGGGCAAAGCAAGGGAGCTGTGGAGGAAGAGGATTCTCTTTAAACTGAGAGCAAGTTTATATGAGATATTAAGAAGAAACTTCCCTGTGTGGGTGCTGAGGCCCTGGTGCAGGGTGCCCAGAGCAGCTGTGGCTGCCCCATCCCTAGCAGTGTCCCAGGCCAGGCTGGATGGGGCTTGGAGCACCCTGGGGTGGTGAAAGGTGTCCCTGCCATGGTAGGGGGTGGAATGAGATGAGCTTTAAGGTCCCTTCCAACTTAAACCATTCTGGGATTCCATGAATGGGGAACCAGATAGGAAAGCTGGTTTTGTCCACGCCCAAAGAATTTACCTTTAAAATGTAATTTGTGGAAGCTTACCTCAGCAACCTGTAGTTCAGAACATTTAATTTAAAGCCTTGGTGAAAAGACAGAGGTGAATGAGGAGAAAGGTGTTGTCTCTTTTTCAAGCTAACTTCTGTTGGGATGATCAGATTATATGAAGCAACATTCTTTAAGGGTTATAAATTGTCTATTAAGAATTATTCCAAGCTCTTTAGTTGTGTGAAATATTCTTACTTTTTTTATGAATGTGTTGGGGGACAAGTAATCTCCAGCTTCTCTTTTGTACAAAAAGTATATTCATTTTTTTCCTTTAGAATTACTTAAAGATGCTAAAATTAAAAGGAAGAGGGAGAAAATTCCAGTGAATGCGACTTGTGAATACTTTGACAGCAAAAACACTCCAGGGAAAGAAACTGCTCTCACTCAATTGCCAAGTAAGGAAGGGAAAAAGATGGCTACAAAGAACGTGGAGCAAAGTGATGCTTCTCCAAAAAAACAGCCTATCCAAGCATCCCCACTACATACAGCTCTCCAGGCAATACGAAACATTGTTGAACCTGAAAGAAAAAGAGTTAAAATTCAAGATGAGAATCACGTCGCCTGTACTTCACATAGCAGAAGTGGAAACAGTTCCTCGGCTCCAGCTGTCTCCAGGTCAGTGTCAGCTTCTGTCTCTGCTCAAGGCACTCAGCACAGACCTGCATCTCTTTTCTTTCGCTGCATGAACTGTGCTCTCCACTGCTTTATCTATTTCCTCAGTGTTGCATGCAGTGTCATTCCTCAGCTCCGCCTGCCCACGCTCAGCCTCTCACTACCTTTTAGAAGGACTAAAACACTGACTAATAGAAAAGACTTTTGAAGCAGTCTCTGAAATAACTTTCCCATTGCTTGAAGACATTTAGGTGTGCAGGTAGCATGACAGCTCACTTGGTTTGCTCCAGCATCAGAAACTGTGTTCTTGGTGCCCTCAAAACTGCCACACTGCTGTGTTACAGCTCCAGGTAATAAAGGCAGCTGGAGTCATGCTCCAGTTTCATACCTATTTTCAGCCCCCAGCAACTTCCAGATTTAGCTAAAACCCTAAAAATTATTTAAGTAATTCTTCACCTTAATTGTGTCAGCTTTCATTGTGCATAATAATAGAGAATTAATTGGCTGTGTTGTCAGACAAGTGAAATGCATGGTCTGGTTGCATGGTAGCTGGAAACACAACTGCCACATTAAGAAGAAATTTTTCCCCCTAACTGAATTGAAGTTACTTTTTGCTAGGTGGTAAAGTAACTGAGAACAGTCATTATCTCCAGCTTTTTTATCCTGCTGAAAACGATGCTGACTTTGATTTTCTACTTTTTCAACTAATGCTTTTTGTATTCTCTTCATACTCTTTGTAAACACATATTTGAGTGTTTGGGGGTAGAGAGGAAAAGTCTGGGCTAGTCCAGAGGTTTAGGCTTGAAACTTGCTGATATCTGCTAGAAGAAATAGCCAGAGTTAATGGCATTCGGGGTAATTAGATTGATGCTTTGGCTCTTGGATCAATTACTCAAGGTTGCATGGATGTCATTAACAGATTTAAAGTAGCCAAACACTGCGGTCTTCTTAAACTGTGGAGAGAATATGGCAGAAACAGCAGTTCTAACAGCTGTGTTAAAATGTGGGATTGTTAGTGAGGAGGGAAGATCAGGAAGGTCAGATGTGGATGATAGTGGAGAGGAAAGATTGGGATAATTTAGTGATGGTGTTGGGTTTTGACAATGTCCTCCACACATAAAGGAACAGGCAGAATGTAACCTGATATGAAAAGTTTAACTTCTTCATATTGCTTTGGGAAAAGAAGCTATAATGTCTGCTTACAGGAAACTGTTGGAAATAGTTTATGGGAACTGAAGGGGGAAACCTACTGGAGAGGGGGTGAGGAGTGGAAATTATTTATGGAGTTGATGCTGGAAAGCAGAGAGAGTAGAAAAAATGGAAGAGGAAGGTGAAACCATAGTTCAGAGGGAGGTTTCTAATATTTTACCCATTGCTGTTGGTTCAAATAAGGAACAAAAGATGGAAAATATTAGAAAAATAAAAACCACAAACACAATTAAGCTGCCAGAAAACTCCATATAAGCTGTTAAGCTTTTTTTGGTGATAGTATGAGTCTGTAAAAGGCAAATCCAGGCAGAAAGTTCATGATTGTGTTCATGAACTAGTAAAACTCCAGGTCATGATATTAAGCTAACATTAAGGATTTACTTGTCCCTGATCTGCTATGATGTGCTATAAAATAGGAAGTCATGTTGAAGTCTGAGTATTTGAGAAGCTGGTTTTCTAAACACTGAAAGAATCTCTGGACTGTTCTGTGATGGATGTGGCTGAACCTTGGGCACAGAAAATAATGGCAAATTGATCAGGAGTGGGGACCTGAAAAGGGAGAGTTTGTGGGAGGAAAAAATAAGGGTGGATAATTGTCAGTGTTTCACCTTGTGTTAACTAAAATGTGATGCTGCAGCTGAAAAGGCTGTTGTGGTCTCTGGGGATTGGTTTTGTGCCTGGAATAATTTTTGTGCAGTAATTAGTGGAGCTCTGACATTAGCCCAGGAATTGTGGGAGAACAGAGCCGCTTTAGCTGTGAAAGGGCTGCAAACTGAATTTCTAGAAAGTGGGGTTTGAATTTGTCATCTCAGCCCAGGAGGCAGTGAGGAAGTGGTCTGAGTGATCTGGGTGTGCTTGTGGAGGTGACAAACTCCCTTGTGTGAAGAGACTTCCTTGCTGAGGAGATTTCAGCAGGTACAGTTGGATATTCTCAGCCAGCACCTGGGTGTGCAGGGCACCTCTGTCCTTCCAGAGGGCTACAGCCAGCACTGGAGTAGCTCATTAGGTGGTGGCACTGATCAGGTTGTGATGGGAGTGTTGAGACTACAGATTTAAATATTCAGGTGGTGATTGTAACTTCTCAATGCATACTGAAATTCTGGCAGTGCAAAGGTTTTGTGCTGTGATAGCTTTTGTTTGGCCAACTAACTGGTCAATAGAAAGAAACATTTCTCTATTGAAATGCTTTTCTTCCCTTCTTAAACTGCAACAGCTGACTCTAGCCCTTGCTGCAGTTTATATTGCATTGAGATTTGAGGTTGTTTGCCTGAGTTTGATCTAAAGAGCTTGGATGTCTAAGAGCTTATTTGCTCCCTTAAATTATTTAGTTGGGCAGCATACACCAAATCTATTTCACTTGGGCTTTGTCCAATTGCCTGTGGCCATTTGGCTCAGCGGATCTGTATAAACTAATGATAATCTTTGGGGTTTTTGGCACAGCCCTCAGCCTTGGGAAGTAAAGCTCCACCTGATGCAACAAGTTCATCCTCCTTAAACAGGTAGAAGGAGCCCCAGTTATATGTCAGTTTTGGAGTCTGTAGAGTCAAAGCTTGAATCATGTCATAATTTCACCAGCGTTTGCTTGAAGAGTTTAACCATTCTGTTCTTTCTGATCCATTCCCTGTGCTGACACCTGATGAACCAGCACAGGGCTCTAAGGGGTGCTCTCTGAGCGCTGTGGGCTGAACCTCAGCTTGTGCCAGCTGCACATCAGCTGCTCCTCCCTCTCTTGCATAGGACAGATGAGAGCACTGGATGGAAAAAGTTTGTGGGTAAAGATGAGAGAGGTCATGGACAAACCAGACCTGGGGGAAGATTAACTCCCTGCCAGTTAAAGACAGTGGGGCAGTGAGAAATAAATAAATAAATAAAACTGCCCCAGCCCTTCTTCCCAGGCTCAGCTTCACTCCCTCAGTCCTGGTTTCTGTCTCCTCCTCCCCCAGAGGCACAGGGCGAATGTGATTGCCAGAGTTGTTACATTAGAGGCTAAGAGAATTATATAATGCCATAAAAGGGCAATATTGTGTATAAATCCACTTGTGCTGCTTTATGACGTAAGTGAATGTGGTTTTTATTTGTTCTTCTGGTTTGAGTTCTTTCTACTTGTTTATAGGGACTCTGTTGGCAATTTTGGCCACTAGAGTAGTGATTTTGGTGGCCTTGGACAGGGGTTGTTTAAGGCAGAAGAGTGGGAGAGAAATGAAGGGAATCCATCATAGGAGCAGGTTCATGGACAGAAACTCTCCATCCCCACTGCAGCTGCTGGGGGAGTGCAAACCACATGATGGCTGCTGAGAACACTTATTTTTTTTTCTTCCCTGAATAATTCCTTGTAGCTGCAACCACATAAGGATTTGTCCAGCTCACGTGAAGGTGACCATGGACAGAAGGTGCTCAGCCCTCAGAGTTGCAGATGTGGTCTTAATACAAAGCACATGGTGGAGCAAACCCTGATCTAGAGGAGGTGCACAGCAGAGCCTGGTTTTCTCCAGCCTGTTGAGACAGTGCTTGTAGGGAATAACATACACAAGGCCTGCAATGCATCATACTTTGACAGCAGTCTGAATCTGTAGCTGAATTCCCCCAAATTTTTTTTGTTGCAGCTCCTTTCATAGTTCTCATGTTCAGCTGCACCTTTCTGTGTTGCAAATAAGTCTCTAACAACTGAGTGGCAGCTATTTGTTTTGGGAAAAACATCACTGTTTTTTGAAAGCAGCTGTCCATGGTGTGGGTTGCTCCCTGAGGGCTCCTGAGACCGCTAAAAATCCACAAGGTCACCAGAGAATTGCTTTAATATATGTGCTGATAAAGGAGTGTAGAGTTTGTGTTATTATATAAAGTGATGTTTAATTTGGAGCTTCATTTTCCATAATTTCTTTCTTTGTGAAAATAATCATGTGCAACAGTCAATGGACTGTGGGTAATTTGGTTGGGTAAAATATCACTATTCATCAATTGTTCTAATGGCATGTTTGCATGTTCGTTAAATTAAAAACAAGATTTAGGCATCTGAGCACAATCTGATGTTTTGATTTCAAAATTATCTTTTTAACAGCAATGAGACAGGTTTTAATTCTGCTATGAATAAAACTGTCAGTGGAAAAATGATATCATTTAGAGCCTGAAAATAAATCTTCCCCCAGCTGAAGATAGTCAAGCACTAAGCTGAAGGCCATGGGAGTGCAGAACAAGGATGAAAGGGGCATGTTATTTTAAGGGTAGGTTTTTGGTGGTGTAAAAACAAGAAGCCCCATCCCATTTGTATGATGTTGCTCAGACTTTTCACCTGGAGTTGTGCTTTTGGGGACTCCTTTCTGTGCATGTCACAGTCACTGGTGTTTCTGAAGGCTGAGCTCAGCCACTTCACATATTCAATAACCTTTCTTACCAAACGTTTCAGCAGCTAAAGTGTGGGAGGGAAGCTTTAAGTGATGAAGTGTGATTAGGACTGATGTAAAAATGCTTTGGTTTAGTCTCATTTTCTTCTTAAACCGTGCTTTCTCTGTATATGGATGGTCTTGTTTGGCAGCTGGCTTGTTGATTTTGCCTAAAATTCTTATTTTAGTCCTGGTTTATATTAACTAAATATGTATTTAGAATGGTTGCTTTGCCTATAGGTTAACAGCTGAATCCAGATTTGAAACTACAGAAGAAGAAAAGAGAGAAACTAAAATCTCAACAGAGAAGAAAACACAGAAGAAAAAATATTCCACATTGTATGTGTCTTCTAAGGCAAGTTCTGAAACTCAGTGTGCTCAGCAGTAAGTCACTTCTGCAGGGAACCTGGGCACTTTGGGTCCTGCTTCAGCAGGGATGCTGAGTGAGCTCTGTCTCACATCAGTGCACAGGCTGCTAACTTGAATGTTGATCTGCCTGCTGGTATGAAGGTGTGATTGCCTGGCAGAGCTGCACTTTTGATGCCTTCCCTGAGGGCACCTCTTGAGTTCCCTGCCCTTGACCTGAGGTGTGGCCTGTGCTCCACTCTTGGCAGAGTCTCCAAACATATTTGCTCCTTCTTTGAAGCAGCGAAGGGCTGTTGTGGAGAAGTTCTGGGCTAACAGAGGTTTTATTGTATGGTAAGACAGACTAGACAGGGTTGATGGAAAATGCAACTAAGTGATGTGCTCCTAAATTTCTTCCAGTTTCCAGATTCAGAATTCTTAAAATTTTTCCTCCTAATATATTATTTTTCAACATTAATAAGGCTGACCTGTTTGCAAAAGTGCATGTGAGTCAGTCACTCCACGTGTTTTGTTGGTCAATGTTTGAAATTCTATGGATTCTTGTATTTGTACTATTAATTAAAATAAAGGTTTATTTCTTTCTTTATAAAATGTAGCCCATATTGTATTTGAGAAGAAATATGTATCCATTTTTAAATGAAGGTGATGTCTTTTGTAGAGCTTCTTGTTAAAAAAAAAACCAAAAAAACTCTCAATAAATGATAAGAAAGTGTAATGCAGGTGCTGTGTGTCATGTTTTTAAGAGACAATTCTCTAACTTCCTGAAGTTCATGAAGAAAAATTCTGAGGAGAGCTTTTAAGCTAGGTATTTGTGTGGAAGTTGGATACTCCATTTGAGTCATGATACTACAGTTTGAGCTCCCTCTGGTGAATGGATTTGCCAGTTTCTAAGTGAAAGACTTAGTAATTAAGGTGAAAGTTTTTTAAGACTTTTCTAAAATCCACCATGGAAAAGAATACACTGGGGAGCAATCTTGCAATCCCCTGGCTTGTTTACAGGTCTGAAGTGGTGCCTTGGATTTTGTTAACTCTGGTGGTGCATGTGGGTGGCTTTAGCTCATCAGTCACCTCAGCAAAAACTGAGTTCTGATCACAGCAGAAGTGACCAAAAAGGTGGAAATGTCACCTTGAATGACCCCGTCTCTCTTTCCAGGCAGCTCCATCTCATTATGAGAGCATTTCTGCACAGTTCTGTTTACACTGCTGCCTCTGTGCAAAATAATCAGAAATCTGTGTCATGGAATCAGATTGTGTCACTTCACTGATGTAAGGAATTTGCTATGTAGCTGAGTTTTTCAGTCTGTTGTTAATAAAGCTATATAAACAGAATATCTTCTTGTTAACTTTTACTGAGGGATTATTACTGACAGCAAATGTATAGCCATGAAATAGTTCTTGCTCTTCTTGACTTTGATATGTGAACTTAAATGATGTCACATTGAAGAAATCCTGGCTTTTATGCTACAAAATGTTAGAAACAAATCCTTTATCATGCAAATGATGAAAGTTACATTTGTTTACTGTCACTACTGTGAGACACAAATAGCCTAAAACAACTGAGGTACATGATTGTTCTACTTAGAGAAAAACCTGTGGTAAGTTAACATTGGATAATGTGTTTAAATGGCAGTACTGAGCTGTAGATTGTCTATTAAGACAATTAAATGTTATGTTAATTGTGTGTTGTTTATGTTATAGTTAACTTTATGTTGAGCTACTTGGCATGTGGCATTGCTAAAATTTTTTCTAGGTTGAAATAACTAATTTATGTGACAAACAAAACTGGGATGTCATTTCAACAAACAAAGGAAACTGATTAGGATTATCTAATTACCCCCAGGGGTTGCTTTACAGCTGTGCTGCTGGAGTCCACTTGGAGTGTGCAGCCTTTACCATCTTATGCCATGGATGTGTTTGCACGTGCTCCTGCAGGAGTGCAGGTGGGGAATGTGTCTGGGGTCCAGCCTTTGGTTTGCTGTAACACGCTTGAGGTACTGTGCATGGGAGTTCTTGCTGTATTTTCTTATTTGGTTCTGGTTTGTCTCATCAGTTGCTTTTCTGCAACTGTGCTCACAGGTCTTGGCATAGAATAGAATTTAGAGGCAGTTAAATGCAACTTCTGTGTTCTGCTCAAATTCTTTATAATGGAAATTAACTTAGCTAAAAAATGGGTAGTAAGCTACTCATCATCTTACAAGGTCTTGTTTTCTGCAACTGATAGCAATATTGAGGGAAGCAGGAAGTGTCTCTCTTCTGCTTGTCCCCAGCCCCCAAAAGGTAAGTTTTTCTTGTCAACTTCATCCACAGAGAGCTTTATCTTTCAGGGAAACAAGGAATTTTCCTTAGAAAACCTTCTGTCCTGAAAAAGACTTAAGGAAGAAATGGTGAGGTATGTGAGGGTGATGACTGCCCACTGTTTTCTGTGGAATATCAGTGTGGAAAAAACTGCTCAAATAAATCAACTTGGAATGAAAACCTCCATGGACAAAGGGTGTAACTATTGCCCACCTTAATTCCTTAGACCTGTGTTGGGGTTTGTTCTGTGCTGCAAGAACAGGATTTTGGGGTTACTGTGTGTGCTTTGCTCTGATGCACTTTCCTCTTGCAGCTAAGGAAGGATTTGGTTCCTCAATCCATTCATTGGGAGTTAGAGGCAGGAATTTCAGACACAGCCAGACGAGGTGGGAGCTGAGTGAGAAGAAGTGGCAGTGGGTTCCAGGGGCTGAGGGGCTGCAGAAGCATCATCACGGAAATCTGCCCAGGAGGGAGTTCCAGCAGCTGTGCAGTGCTGAGAGCTCCGAGGGGAAGGGGATGGCAGTGGGAGGCAGCAATTTCTGTGGGAGTTTTGGCCCTTGAGTTGGCTTTTGGGGTGAATCCAGAGGGTACAAGAGGGGATGTGAGCTCTGCCCAGAGCCCAGTCCCTTTGTGCTGTGCTCTGCAGAATCACATCAGGCCATCAGAAAAGTGCTAACTGGATCCCAGTTTGCAGGTGACATTTCTTTATTTTAGATAATTTACTTCCAAAAGACAATAATATTAACTAGGTATTTTAGACAGCCATGGAGAAGCAGGTTTTTAAATGAGTGCAAGAAAGGAGCAGTTTTCCTCTGAGCTGTTGCTTTACAGGGAAACACAGTAAGGGAGAGCAAGGTAGAACAAGAAAATAAAAACAAGGCAACCTTTAGGCCAAGTAGTGCATGGGAAGAGGGGATTTGCTGCAACAGGGATTGGGAGGAGTGAGGAAGATCATTACCACTGGTTAGGAAGTTACTACCCAACCCAGAATAAACTCAAAGAAATAATTCAGCCTCAAGATCTGTTTTTGACAGAATAACAAATAAAGTCCTTTTTCCAGGGACAGAAAAGATTAAGAACTTTTAGATGAAGCTTGTTGTCTGTAAATGGAAATAATGGCAGCTGCTGGGAATGTAGCTGACTTCAGTAAAAATAACAGGACTTCGAGTGTCAGTTTAGGGGAGAGCAAGGAGCTGAATCCTTTTCTAAGCTAGTATGGTTAAGATTAGACCAATTCAAGCAAATCTGTGGTAATGGTTAAAGTGATTTTCTTGTGGAAATAAAAATCAGAATTCTACATGCAAGGAGAGAGACTGGCAGTCTGTGCTCCACATGGTTGCTAGTTAAAATTGAGAAATAAGATGTTGTGTTATAAAAACCAGAGGAAATGTTTATCAAAAATCAGGAGATGGTTATCAAAACTCAGGAGATGGATGTAGCATGGCAGTGTTAAACAGTTTGGATAAACAATGATTGTTAAACTGTAGTGGAATATCCAGAGGACAGCATTGTCAACTGAATATGTTGTACTAAGCAGAAGATCAAACAAACAGTAAATCTTGTAAGGATTTCATTTGAGGTTTTTTAACTCTAAACTATGAGTAAAGCGCCGACCTTAGGCTTTAAGGTGACATAGTGCCTTCAATTCAGTTTACTGTCCTTAATCCATGTTCCAAAAGACTTGGCTTGGTCTTTTGCTCATCCAAGCTGTCCTCACCCAAGCTGGCTCCCACAGCAGCCTGTGTGCAAGCACAGGCTGGGAATATACTAAAAATTACTTTTGGCAGTTTTGTATTGACAGTAAGTCTTTAAGAAAGTACTGCTTTGTTTAGAGAAGAGAGAGCCTCCTACTTCTTCCTCCAAACATACAATGATAGAAATTTAAAAGAATGGGTGTGGTTTGAAATGTGGCCTTGTCTTCACTCCTTTTCTTTTTGGAGAGGTGACATGAAAAGCTCAAATCCAAATTTGAGGGCAGGTTAGAAGAGCAGAGTTTTTAAGATGTAGCATCCTCTGAAGTCAAACCTTTCCAGCCTGGTGCTGCTCTGGTGTCCAGCACTGACCTGAGCCGTGGTCAGTGATGGTCGCTGCAGGCACCCTGAAGTCCAGGGGTGGTGCCAACTGTCCCCGCTTGGGTTTGGTCCTTTTGTGCTTCTGTGTTCGCTGCTGACACGGTGCAAGAGCAACACGCAGGCTGGGATTCCCCTCCCCCATGACACGGGCACGGTATCTCGAGTTGAGAAAAGAGGAAGGAAGCTCGGAGAGGCAGCAGATCTCACAGAGCCCTCGCAGCTCGTCCTGGGGCTGGGGAGCCACGGCGCTTCCGGGCCTGCCCTGGTCACCCCTGAGCTCTGCACCCCCAGAGCCTGGGCTCCTGGGGTGCCCGTCCCTGGCAGCCCCTCCGAGTCACGGGCCATGGCGAGGTGGCACAAGACAGACAAGAGTGGCGTGGGTAAGTAGCTCAGGGAGCTGCCATTGGAGCGTTGTCTTTGTGTCCTCTGAGCAGGATGTGGGCAGGTGTTTTCTCTGGTGTGATGGGCTAGCACCGTCCCCTTCACCAGCGGGGATTAACTGGAAGGATCAACTTTGTACAAAGTTTTGATCTTTCAAACAGAGCTAGAAGGGCACTAGAGTCAGCTTTCCGCTTTGACAGTAATGCGGCTTTTCCCACCTTGGTGTGGTAGAAGCAGACTGGATAAATAATGTGCTGTATAATGTGCAGCAGCCAGAAGTTATGGGGAACAAATGTAGGGGAAGGGGAATCCTACAGCTGCTTCTGCAAAACTGTCACTTATGGTCAGTGCTACAGGAAAAATCTGTGTCTGAGTTGGTAAGTCGTACTTTTTGGAAGGAAAGTAATCTTCAAATTTGTATGAAGGATGGAATTTCTGTTTCAAAAAAGCCTTAAACAAGTAGGAATCAAAGCTAAAGCTCTTCAAAGATGCATGCTGCTACTTAGTTATTAACCTTCTAAATGCTTCTAAAAGAAATGTTTTTATTTTAAGCAGGCCATAGTTTTTTATGATATGCATTAAAAACCCAACTGGCTTCATGAAATAAAATGCAACAGCAAGAAATTATCAAGAAAATAGCATGGTGTTCAGTGTCCATGTCCAGCAGTAGCAGAACTGCAAAATGGAAGTAGCCTGTTCTGGTGGCAGTTTACATTACAAAATAAAAGGTGTCAATTTTCTGTTTCAATTTTACAAATAGTAGAAAGCACATAATTTTTGCACTTGTGGTAGTCTCTCTATGGTATTTGAAGGCTACAGCAAACCTCACACAATAAAAAACCACCTTGTGAAATGGAATCTTTCAAAAACTAATGACAGTCCAGCAATGTTTGTTTTTGTGTCCAAAACAGTACAATTTAGAGTGGGTCATGGGGAAGAACTGACA